TTAACTGTGGGGTATTTTGTGCTGAAACTTGACAAATACATTCTGGGGACACCCGAGACCAATATTACATCTTATAAAAAGGGGCATAATAGGTGCCCTTTAAAGTTAAGGCTGCAGTCTGTAGCTTTTTTGAGCAAATACATAAGAAGCCAGTGTTTAAATCTATCTCCTTGCCTTAGCTCGATTCAAAACGGTAAGGTTGTAATAATGTTTTTAATTCCAGTGGAATTAAAGGTTCTCTAAGCGATGTGGGGGCCAAAACATTTTTTGCCACGTACATCAAACGTCTCCTCACTATCGGCTAGCTGCCTGTCCTCTAAACACACTGTAAAAAAACACGGTCTCTGTAGACACCACAGGCTCCACAAACGGCAACAAAAACAATCATGTCTCACCCGGACCACGAAACCTAACAAACAGTGTTCCAGCCAATCACTGGCAAGAAGTATTTGAGGGTGGGTCTGGGGGGTTAGTGCGCGTGCACATGAAGGGGGTGTGTGTGTGAAAGAGAGCAGCGAAGCATCAGAGGGAAGTTTGAAAAATGGCCGAAACACGACCAAAGAGACGTCGTTTTGAGGAACAAATTAAAAAGAAGAAGGAGTCGGATAAAGAACGTGCGAAGTTCCGAATTTACATCGGTAGCAAAGCTTTTGAACGATGGCGAGAACTCCGGTGGCAGAAAGGCTTCCAGTCCGACATTCAGGTTCCTCTGTTTTTGCTGGACAGGTGGGTAACGTTAAATTGTTTTTTTTCCCTCTAAATTGACGCTTATGTTCGCCAAACCCACCCAAGGATATAATTAGCTAGAAATGCACGTTCACAATTATTTCAGGAAGGACGGAAGGGAGGGGGAGGAGATGAGATGCGGAGGAGGGAGGGTCTAGCTAGCCTCCGATTTGTTTGAAAATATTCCGAACGTCAACAACACCCAGGATCGCTCAGAGAACCTTTAAGTGGTACTGGTGGATTTCTGCTGGAAATTCGAGTATGCCTTTGCGTCATTTTTGAACACATAAAGAAGAATCTCAGCTAGTAAAAGCTATATTGCGTGTGAGGATGTTAGAGGTAGAGATTTATAGCGTTTTCTCTTGACAGCACTTGATATAATTAAACATATCAATTTGATGGCAGATCCAGGAAGGAACGTTCAAACGACAATCACCAGTAAAAACTGAAGATTCACCCGCTGTAAAATGCAAAAGACTTTGTTCGAAAAAAAGAAAAAAAGAGACTGCAACCTGACCCATACGAAAACAAGGATACATATCGGAAGGGCATTAAATGTAGTCATGCAATGCTGATGTTGAACATTAACAATTTGAGAACAAAGTAGCCTATAATTTGCACAGTTTTGCATGATATGATTGTAAATAGTAGTCTCAGGGTGTACTCACACTAGCCAGTTTGAACCATGCCCGAGTGCGTTTGACCACCAAAGCGCGGCTCGTTTGACTAGTGTGAGTGCTCCGAACCGTGCCCGGCCGCGGCTCGATTAGCCGGCCCTGGCCCGCTTGGAAGAAGTGGGTTCACCATGCCTTGAGATTAAAACCATGCCAATCTCAAGGCATGGTGAATGGTGTGTGATGATGTGGGGATATTTTAATTCCAAAGGCCAAGGAAACTTTATCAGGATGCTTATTATCCTGGATCCATGAAATAACTGGCTTTTAAAAATAAAAATCTGCCTGACTATGGGAATTTATTTATTCCTATTTAGATTTTTTATTCCTCTTTTTAGGCAACTTTAGCATGGGTGTCCAAACTTATTCACATCACTGTAAATATCCTGGCAATTTTTAGTTTTAGTTTTTTTTTTTTTTTTAATTTTTAGTTTTAGTTATTAGAATATTTAGTAGAGGATTCTCAGAATCTTTAGGGATACGGGCCCTGGTCTTTTCATGTTGTCTTATGATTGTTGTTGACTATAATAAAATATTTTTGGTATTTTTGTATCCATGTCTCTGGCCCTTCCTCGATAAGAACGTTCCCGTGTCCTTTTGTGGAAATACTAAATTCATTAGTATCAATAGTTCCCTGTTCATCAGGGTGGCGTAGTCGTGCATATGTAGAGCTCGCTTCCCAAGAGCGGCCTCCCACTACATATGGAATGAATAACATTCAATACAAAATGAACATGTCTCGTATATAGAAATAATGTTTTAAGTGATAAAATGTTTGCTTTGTTGTGCATAAGAATCCCACCATGCATTTAGTCATATTACAAAATAATTTATTGAAGCATCCAGACACTTCACCATGTGAGCAAGCAGCAGGCTCCTGATTAGTTAACGTGGCGCGAATTGACGCCAAAGTTCAGATTTTTCAACTCGGGCGGCAGACGCGCGAATGCACAAATGGCACTTAACTAAATCATTCGCGCTTAATGCTCAATTCACGCTCTACGCCTCATTCGCGCCGCAGGAATTTTTTACACGCATAATGCGTCTTTGCAATAGGCTTGTTCGACTTCATGCAGCTCTGCGCAAACCGATCGGTGGCTGACTTGAAACAGTGCATGCCGGTTAGAAATTTTGTCCGACTTGATGCAGCGCTGACTCCACGTGACTGTGACGTATGCTATCGAAGTACCGCGAGAGCGATCCAAGAGCAGCCGCAGGATTCAGCCAGCGCAGATTCTCAAGAGCGGCTGCACAGGTTCTGATGACGACACAACTGATCCACGATTGGCCGGATTCACTGACAACACTGGTGACGTGTGTTTCAAGTTTATTGCCACGAATTCAGCTCAAGAAATTCTCATATGGACTTTTAAAACAGTTCATCTTATAAATCATATTTATGAAATATTGTTTTACTGTACTCACTTTATTGTTAAAAGCCAATAGGGTTTTTGTATGTTTATTTGGCATTATTTTTCAGCTGCATAATCTATTCAAATGAGCTTTTTTAATAACTCAAATTTTAATCTTTTTAAGTTAATAATTTTTTGTATGTAAAACATACAATCTTATGTGGTTCTAAATGTATGCTTATATAAAAATGATGCATAATACATCATGTTCCTCCATTTGTTCATATGGTTTCTTCATATTCTCTAGTTTATTTTGCTGTGTTTATACTTCACCTGCATGTGGTTAACAAACTGCTAACAACTTGCTGTATATTCAACTTATGAAATGTGTTTTTTTTTGTTTTTTTTGTTTTTTGTATACGAAAATGAATGATGTTTTGTCTCAAATGTTAAAAAGAGCTCAGCTGGAGGGTACTGTAAATCATGTTGCTAAACCTTCTTTAAAAAAGGGAATATATATATATTTTCTAAAGGTAACTTTTATCATTTTGCATTAGCAGAAACACCCATGTCAAACTGCTAATTTATATATATCCAATATGTTATCTTGTCCAAAACACCACTTAAACACACATCTCAAAAGTGTTTTAATACCTTGGTAAATACATAAAGTTACTCAAAATCACTAAATCACAAAAACAATGGAAATCACTACTAATTAATGTTGAGCCAAAACTGGTTGACTTAAAAGGGTCATTGCATTTGTTGCTAACTATTAGTAATAATGAATGCAACAGGTGTTGGCTATGGTCCCATGGTTCCTTGGGATATATAAATAACCTGCATTACCCTGTGTAACACACTACAAAATGGACAATGTAACCATTAATGTGTTAGACAGCAAAGGTAATGTTGTCATGCTAACAGTTTCCAAGGACATTGCTGAAAGGATGCAAAATGGTAAGTAAACTGCATAACTGTGAAATAATTACAAGTCACCAATGATTTGTGCAAGTGTTTTAATTATCATTTATTCCCCCAGATCAATTGTTCCTATCTTCAGTCATGGAGCAAGTATCAGCTTTTGAAACAAAAGGTACACATTTACTAAATGAACAAGAATATACTGGAATTATTTCTTGAGTGACACTGACCACATCTTCTCTCCAAACAGCTCTCCTCAGTGGCCCAGCTCCATGTTTTCCATGTCTCACTAGGTCACCGGTACCCCTAAACCTCAGTTTTGTGAAACCATCAACCAGCCAGTGCCCCACTAGGCCCCCTGTACCACCATCAACCAGCCAGTGCCCCACTAGGCCCCCTGTACTACTTACCTCCACTGTCAAGTACCCACCGCCTGCCACTCTGCAACCTGGTGCAATGTGTGGAAACCCTTCGGAATCCATTCAACCTTCATCCCCCTCCTTCCAGTCAGACAGGCATGAATCTCAAGGTATTGCATCAAATAATATAAGGAAGATTCATGTAAATGCTGTGATTAATTTACATTTTTCTTTGTTTTGTAGTGTTAATTTATTGATCTCCTTATCCCCTCCATTTTACAGAAATAACACATCAAATGACACCATTTCTACTGGACCTTACAAAAACCCATCAGCAACTTTATTTTAGGAACAAAATGGCTTTCTATAAAAAATTGCAAAACTCCTTCTCACAAAAGGGCTACAACTTATCCAGTGAGAAAATTAGGAAAAAACTAGCAAACATGTTAACCACTTATAAAAGGGTAAAAGACAGGCGCCGTGCAACTGGGGAGGGGAAGATCACCTGGGAGTACTATACAGTAAGTTGAAGACTGATTTACTTTGTTTCTGAAATAACATTTTCTAGTCTTGCATGAAACATTGATTTTTTTTTTATTTTTTTTTTACATTTGAAATTCACCCCCACCAGCTAATGGATGAGTTGTTTGGGTCATCGGGAATCGGTACCGCATTACCAGGCACCATTCACTCCACACCTCTGGGTTTGGAAGAGACCTCCTCCAAAAGTAGGCCCACATCATCTTCCCAAGACCAGCCAGCAGGTGCTAGTATAGATGAACAGCCAGGAACCTCTACCATACCAAATACAAACAGGCAAAGACGATCACAACAACCCTTACAATTTCTGGAGGCTTATGAAGAGCATGCCGAGAGAAGGACTGCTGTGCTTGAGTCCCTGGTAAGGCCAGATCTGGAGAGATGGCGGCGACTTAAGGAGAGGCGCAGAAGGTCCTTTGAAAAAAAAGATGTTGACCAGCTTGGGAACAATTGTTGAGGAGCTAAAGAAAATGGGGGAAAGACAAAGGCAAATCATGCATTTATTACAGAACTCACATGAACGTCAATAATTTAAAGATTTTTTTTTTCTCTTGATTTGCAGCTTTCCCCAAAATGTTTCTTTCCCCCCCAAAGAACACAATTTCAAATGAGAAACTAATCATGTTCAATAAAATAAATGTCTTTATTTCAACACAAAATCTGTTTCTTTTAACATTTGTTGAATTCTGTACATTCAAAAATTTTTTTTTGTATATTCAGTATACATACATCAGATCTGGCCACAAATCTGGTCTCTACGATGACATGCATTAGTGTTGTGGGGTTGCTGGTGGTGTGGTTCATCATCAACACCATCATCTACCACAGCAACTTGATCACTGGGCTCTAAACAAAGATTACCATACCATACCAACTTTATTTGTTTAGCACTTTACCACAACCTAAGTTGACCAAAGTGCTGTACAGAAAACATAAACATACAATTAAAAACCCTACATTCATCATTAGTAACAAAAAATTCATGGAGTCGACATCTTGCTAGGTGTCAAAAGCCAAAGAGAAAAGATGGGTTTTAAGAAGTTTTTTAAAAACAGGTAAAGAAGAGGCCTGTTTAACATGCAAAGGCAGATCATTCCATAGTTTCGGGGCAGACACGGCAAAGGCACGGTCCCCTCTGAGCTTACACTTAGTTTTAGGCACAGTCAGGAGCAGTTGATCATCTGACCTGAGAGCGCGGACGGGTTTATACAAAATGCAGCATGCTGAGACTGCTGAACTGATATTAGAAATGCTTCTCATTTGCAGGCAATGGAGCCTCCTAAACTTAGATTTTAGAATGCCAAATGCATGCTCAATGACCACACGCGCTGCATTGAGCTTTCTGTTAAAGTTTCTTTGCCTAGCAGACAAGTGGCCATTGTCTCTATAAGGCCTCATAAGTTGAGGCAACAAAGGGTAGGCAGAATCCCCAATTATGTGCATTCCCTGTGGAACAAGGGAATGAGGATCTTCTTCAAGAAGACGACAAACTTCTGTTAAACGAAATGCTCTGGCATCATGCCAACTACCAGGGTGACCCACACTGATGTGACAGAAACGTCGCTGACTGTCACAAAACCCAGTTAAATTTACAGAATAAAACTGTTTCCAATTCATGTATGCTAGGGGATTATCACAGTGGGGTCTCATTATAGGAATGTGACACCCATCCACTGCACATACTGTGTTGGGGAAACCTGCTGCGTCAAACCCTAACTTTGACATCTCCAGCCTTTGACCTCTGGGCCAGAAAATGTGGTGGGCCAAGTATTTGTTCACATTAAAACAAAACTCATGGAGATGCTTGGCAAGAGTGGATTTTGACATGTTGAATCTATCTGCCACCCCACGATATGACTCCTGATTTGCCAATGTCCAAAGGCAGGCAAGAACACTGTTTATGAGTGGAAGTTTGGTCTGTTGTGAATTCATATAAACAGGACCAAGGGTAGTTATGACATCCTGCAAAGGTAGAAAAATAGGTTATCAAGACAACATGCTAACACACTGGTAATTGTTAATTTTATATTAACCAATACAAACCTCCACTTGTTCTTTGGTGAGCCTGAAATGACCTCTAAATTCTGAGGGACTGTAGAGAGGGACAACATCCTCCACAAAATTGTCTATTTTTGGAACCATTCTATATAAGAAGAGGAATTGCATTCAGTATATGCATGTAGCCTAATTGAACACACGTGTAGTCAAACTTCTATTATCAGTGTTTTATGTTGAATGGGGATTTTAATGAAATAATTGGTGTATAGATAAGTGTTGAAATTTGAGAAACACTCCATTATTTTTTGTCAGAATGAGTAATTTTCTATTCATACCAAAATAATAATAATTATTATTATTAATAAAAGGCAAGCAACAGTAGCTATTGATTACAAAACCCACCCATTACATTAGTAATAAATTGCAAAGACTACAGTGCAGAATTGTAAAGACTGTATCGATACAGTATTTATTCAACATTTGTCAGCTATTGGTATAGTAACTTGACAAGTAAATTGATCATGTGTCTATAAATTGTTTAAAAAGATACTCCTTACACATTTAACCTTTACTCACTTTCGTTGCTCATTGTGCTCAATTTCATGCAATAATAATGGAATTTCTATCGCTTCCAGTTCATCTGCGATAAAGAAAGCAAACACCACGTGATCTGCCATGACTGACGTAATTGCAGCAAACTACGGGAGCCACAACGTGCCCGGCTTTATATCTCCGTTTGCAGCTCCTCCCCGCCTGCACGCGGCTATTCTCGCCGATCGGTTGCATCCAGCCGCAGGCGATGTCGAACACACCTAATGACTTAACATTGAAATCATTCGCGCCTGACGCGCTATTCGTGTCTGGTGTGAATGCACCATAACACGTTTGCAGAGGGTACAAAATGTGGCTGCACGTCTATTAACAAGGACACGCAAACAGGATCATATTACACCTACTGTACACTAGCTTACATCCACTGGTTGCCAATTCGCTTTAGAATTGATTTTAAGATTTTACTCTTTGTTTTTAAATCATTAAATAATACTGCTCCAAAATACCTCTCAGATCTATTGCAGCCATATGTTCCATCCAGAGCACTTAGATCTGCTGGGTAGCTGCTTTTGGTTTCGCCCAAAGCAAGATTAAAGAGCAGAGGTGATCGTGCCTTTGCAGTGGTGGCCCCGAAACTTTGGAATAATTTACCTTTGTATATTAGGCAGGCACCGTCACTTGCAGTTTTTAAATCACATCTAAACTTATTTGTATAGTACTGCATATAACACAGACTACACGGTATGAGAGTTACTTGTTATCTTTTTCTTTGCTTTTGTTGTTTGTTATCTGTATGTACAGCACTTTGGTAAACACCTGTTGTTGTAAAAAGGTGCTCTATAAATAAACTTTGATTTGATCACTTATAAGCGCTTGTTAGATTTAATCAGCGCAATTTACTGCAAAGTCAGAACCAGAACAAAAGTGGATGCTTACTTGTCCATATGACATTTTCCATGATATTTGTTAAAATTATTATGTTGGTCATACTTCCAAAAATAACAATCTGTGATTCTGAATGCCAATATCCATCAAAACATCTCCTGCCGCACTCTCCTCAAAACATTCGATTCATCCACGTCGCGCCGAGGTTCAAGAGATGGCGACAAAGAGGAAAAACGGTGGACTGCAGTTTTAAAATAAAATAAAAACTTTCTAAAATGTTATAAATAAATATAAATATGTTATAAATAAATATATGAAGAGTTCAGATGCAAAAGCCTCTAAATGCCATTTGAAATTTTCTTCTAAAATGACAATTTTTATCAAGCTTGTATATTTAAGTTCAGTAATTTCACTTAAATGACAATTAATAGGTAATCTTCATTGCCATTTAAGTGAAATTATTGAACTTAAATATACAAGCTTGATAAAAATGATCATTTTAGAAGAAAATTTCAAATGACACCTAGAGGCTTTTGCATCTGAACTCTTCATATATTAAATATTCGTAATAATTATTAAGAATATCTATATATCATTGTATAAAAAGGAGAGAAATGAGAGAACTGCGTGGGGCCGGTGGAGTTGTATTAATTAATTAATTAATTAATTAAAATATGCTGAACATTGTCTGTGCTTCTCAGTGGAGGATGTAAAAAAAAAGTGGAGGGACCTCCGTGATGGCTATGTTCGACATTGGAGGGAGGACCAGTCCAGGCGGGTAAGTGGGGCTGCTAACTCTCAGAAGAGGCCCTGGTGTTATGCCCAGATTATGTCCTTTCTCCTGCCATTTATCACACCACAGATGACAACCTCCAACCTCACTGAGACAGAGGGAGAGACCCAGGAGGGAGAGGTCTCACAAAAGAGAGAGGGAGAGAAACAGGAAAGAGAGTGAGTCACAGATACATATCACCTGTGTGTGAGCATGTGCCCACATGAAATAAAGGGCACACCAGACCTGTTAGGGGAGTGCAGGCATAGGCGGCAGGTTGTCTCTGCAAGCCCCTCAGTGTTTGAGTAGATGATTGTGAGTGCAATAGAATCTGCCAATCAACCACCAACAGGAGAAAGACACAGACCAGGCCTCCTTGGACAACCTAACCCCCGCCCTAAAAAGGATGTCCATCCAAAAAAACATGCTGCTACGAAGCTGAAAATGCACCAGCTTATATATGAAGCTGAATTTGAGTGTTGTTTGTTGTGAATGTTCTCCACACTGGCATTGATAATGTGTAACATGCTGCCATCTCATCTTTTCATTTTTATTAGTTTTTTGTTTTACAGAATCTGGTGGAGCTGAAAACACACACACACACACAGTAGTATCATTAGTATAATAAAGTTCACTTCGACTATTATTCAGTGCTGTGGTTTATTTTTGCAATAGAGAGAGCTACAAGAGACTGCGACGCACACACAAACACTAATAGAAAGCGGCATGAGTGGCGTGAGTGCTGGGTGGTGTGTCATGAGTGCTGGATGGTGTGGCTGTAGAAGTGGCGTGAGTGCTGGATTGCAGATGGAAGCAGTCTCACCACCTAAGAAAGTAAAACATTTGTAAGACTCATTAGCAAACTTAAAAAGAAAAGCATGTAGCTTAGAGGATGATTTATCATTGTATTAATGTTAAAATTATCTGGGTTGTGTCTACTGCAGCCCTGGACAAAGGAAAGATCCCAGCCTTGATGGTTTGGGCTGTCACAGCAGTGGGGTAAACCGTTTTGAGGAGAGAAGAGAACTGCTTCTTCCCTACCACAAGATCCCCTCGAACCAGACCCAGCCTGGAAGCCATGATGGAGAAGGCCGTCTTCAGCGGGTTGAAGACCGCAATATCAAGGGGCTGAAGGACGTGTGTGGTGTGGGCAGGTAGGCAGAGAATTTCAACCTTATTTTCTCTACAGTACACAATGACATTTATTGATAGATGCGTCTCGTGTTGGTCCATGATTAACACTAGTGGTCTCTCCTTAGGTGCATAATGGATAAAATGGTGTAGTAGGCTTGCCGCGATAGACGGTGTTGACGGTGTTACCGGTTTTAAGCCCCATCACCGTTGACATCACTTTCCCACTGTGACACCGCGATGTCTTGACTATTTTTAAAGTATTCGTTTTTGCTAAAATATTTATTTAAATTTATTAGTTCAGAAGAGAGCATACATTATAATTAAAAATGAACTGCGCAGTGCGTGCCAAGAGCCATATTTGCGTGTGTGCAACAAGCTGTGCATCCGAGAGGGTGTTCAGCACGATGGGGAACATAGTCACCCCCAAAAGATCTCATAAGCCAGAGATGGTCAACATGCTCGGTTTTCTGGCAAAGAACATGTAGACTCAGTCTAAATGTTCTTGACTGCAAGACTGTCTTTGTCATGAAGTCGGTCTTTGTCTCAACTGTCATGTTCTTTGACTCTAGACTGCAAGCGATGTTAATAAATGCCAATTTATAGTGTTTTACTTTTTTTTTTAGAGTGCTGTCATTTATGTAGGCTAAGGTCCTTTTTGAAGTTTTTATTTTATATTCGTCTCTTTTTATTTGGTTTTATCTTATTTAAACTGTGTGTAATTTATTTAGGCCTATTTTGTTTTCTTATTCGTTAATAAACGTTTTATGGTTCTTCTTTGTTTGGGCCCACAGTTTGCCGATTTTCACTTTTTTTCAGCCTATGCATGGGGTTATTTTTATTTGTTCGTTATGCTAATAAAAGTTCTGTCTATATTTTATTCGTTTGTTATGCTAATAAAAGTTCTGTCTATAAATAAAAGTTTATTGTCAGCGAGTTGTTGTTTTTTTTGTCCATTCCAGCAATTGACGCTGAATTGCAATTGACGCTTATTTCGAAAGTGAAGGTATGTCATTTATGTAGGCTAAGGTCCTTTTTGAAGTTTTTATTTTATATTCGTCTCTTTTTAATGGGTTTTATCTTATTTAAACTTTGTGTAATTTATTTAGGTCTATTTTATTTTCTTATTCGTTAATAAACGTTTTATGGTTCTTATTTATATCCCACAGTTTGCCGATTTTCACTTTTTACGTTGTTGTCACACGTCGATTAACCGGTGGGAAATTTTCCTCACCGCGGCAACCCTATGGTGTAGCCATTTCAGGAATAGCTCCGAATCCATGTATCCCTTATCCTGGATCCCATAGAGAGCGTTGGGGGGCCCATCCAGCCTATATGCGTTACTCGGAAGGCAGCCGGGGTCAATTCACACAGCAGTGGACCGTGATGTGCTCCCTGGTCGTGTTCTGCTGCTGGTATACATGTTTCCTCCCGGTCTGGCACAGGACCTTGTCCCTGGACCGAGACTTGTCCCCAAATCCAGTCTCGTCGCAGTTGTAGATGAGCTGTGGCTTTTCATCCAAATGTGTCATGCGTCACATAGAGGGCCTCATATATTTAAATATATATATATATATATATATATATATATGAGGGGGGGCTGAATTGGGATGAGGGTTGTTTGTAGTTTGTAGAGTGGTGTGGGGAATGCCGTATTTTTTTGCTGTGGCCCTCAAGCCCTGCTCTCACTTCCTCTACTGCCTGCACTAAGAGCGCTTTCGCATACTGCATTTTCTTTCCTGACATCTTTGGTTTAAAGTTATGTTAACTTTCCTTTGGAAATAATCATGTGTTAATATTTGTAATCTTTAACTTCAAATTATATATCATTACAACTGTGTAAATAAAAACAATTTATATCATTTGATGTATGGAGTCTTATTAAATATGTGTGAATATCCTATCATTGTTCATATCCAACTGTTAAATAACACAAGTTAGATTTTATGAAAAGTTGGCTATGAAATAACATCACAGTCGATTAAGTTAATGTTTAATTTGTTAAATAATGTTAAAATATTCAATTCATGTAACAAGTTATGTTAACATTAACCTAATTAACCCTTTATGAATATAAACATCATCACTGCACGCAGGATGATGGGCAAACAGACGTGCTGCCTTTCTGCTGCCTCATAGTGGAGCCAAACAGTCATCGCCCACAATCGTTTAAAAATTAAGTTCCCATTTCTTAGTTAACAAAAAAGTCATAAATTTAACAATTTGTGATAACATAATATTCATTTCATAAAGACTGTAATACTGTGAAAAGCTAAATTGAATCGTAGTGTACATTTTCGCTGCTCTAGTTGTCTCCCCACCCACGCAACTGTATGAAGTGTAAGCTTTCCCACC